TAACAAAATAATAATATTAATGAAATAAATAAATAAACAAATAATCACAAATATTTCACAATTAAACGGGGCGTTACATGCTCGTACTAAGCATATTGAACTTGATGTTCACTTTGTCAGAGACAAGATACATAGAGGTCTTCTAGCAGTGCAACATGTTCCTTCTTCAGATCAATTGGATGGTATTCTAACTAAGCCTTTAAGTCATCAATCCTTCTCTCGGCTCAGACAATCTCTTGGTATTGTTAGTCTTAGCTTGTTTGGATTGAGGGGGCCTGTTAGAGTTCATGCATGATCACATGCTAGTCCATGCACACGTTTATGGACAGTTCATATTATTTTAGCAGATTTTATTTCTTTTATAGATTAATTTCTTTAGTTGATTGGTTACATGCTTGTAGTGGTTATAGGTAGTTTCTTATTCAGTTATTAGATGAAAGTTTCCTATATATGTAAACGATTGTAACTTAGATGCTCTGATTATCGAGCCTTTCAATATTCTGAAAATATATCCAACATAATGTTGAGTGAAATGCTCTTCTTTTCTTTCAATCCTGTTTATTTGATTTTCTATCAGAAAGTATAGTGTACTCAAATGTGTATTGGCTGAAATCGTGTCATGTATATGAAACTGTGGAAAAGAAGTCAAGTGTTCATTTCTTGTTTCTTATTGTTAGGAGTGATGGAGGTTGAAAGAAGATGAAGATGTGAAATACTTTGAGGCTATATGTTATTTACAAAACTGGTGTGAAGTTTACTACAACAAAGGTATGTTCAACCAAACTAATCTTATATTGTAGTAACCTCATAGTAATCTAATCTATTACATAAAATCAATAGTTAATTGTTGTCGGAATTACCTTGCACTGGATTTTCACTATTTGCTGATTTCCTTTTCTTCATATTCCTTTGTTGTGATTTCTGTTATTTGGCATAGTCTCTGTCCATTGCACACTATGAAATTGTTCTTTCAAAGTGTTACCTACAGAAAATTATTTTTACAAAGTAACATCAAAAGACATTTAATATACACTTAGTACAAAAGATTTTTTTTTTTTTCAAATGGAACATATAGAAAAGACTACTAATCAAATAACCTGTTGTACCTGTTTGTCTTCTTGTATTTGAGACTCTTTCTGTATGTGATGTATGTTATATACCATCAGCCATGATAATAATCACCTAAAACAAATGTTAGCATGTAAGCAAAACTCAAAACTTTTGAAATAAGAATAAAACTAAATGGATGTATAGGATTTAGTTGAACAACACGCAAAAGACTGTGAGTTTAGATTTTATTTATAGGTATGATGAAAAATCCGTAATGGGCAGCATGCATCTTTTTTTTTTTTAATGATATAGAATCTATAATCATTCTGATATGATTTTCGTAATAATGATATAACATGTCAAAATAGTGAATAGCACATATATTATTGAAAGATATGCATGGCTTGGACAGTTCGATATCCCTGTAAATAGTTTCATATATATATTCGGTTGTTTATAAATCAATAAATAAATCAACTAAAACTACCGTTTTGATTTAACACCGTTAGAGCATTTAATTTATTCAGATTCAATATTATATGATTTCATTACAAATTTGTTTGCACAATGACAAAGGAAATTTGGAAGATTTTTGAAGATTTTTTATTGTATTAGTCCAAATTATGTATAGAAATTATATTCATAAGAATCGCCGCAATGTATTGGTCCAAATTATGAATTAGTACAGCCGCAATATTTGCATGAGAATCGCCGTAATGTTTGACACAATATTTGGTAGAAATTGAACAAAGATCACGGTAGCCGCAATATTTGACAAGATATCTATAAATTTGACTTTTCATTTTGAATTTCAAAAAATGGCCGAGTTTTTCCAAATTATTTACAAAGTAAGATTGAATTATTTAGGTGGGAAATTAGTTACTTTTTCAGGTAAATGTGAAACCTTTTTATATTTATATAGATATAGATATTATCACATAAGTTAGTATGATAATGTTTTATTTTCTTCTTCAGTTTGTAATGTGGCAGCAAATATTTCTAGTAGTAATAGACTGGCCATGATGGCTTTGGAGGGAAACAAAATTTTTCCCGCGAACTTGTAATCACTTGATTACCCCCATGTAAATATTTGAGGTTTAATGTCATTATGTTTTCTGGATAAAAAAAAAGAAAAAAAAAACGTAATAAAAAATTTATAAGAGTATGATACATAAATTGTATATAGAATAAGACATCATTAAGTGCTTGTAAAACATTATTTTGGGTTTTAATTAAATTGTTAGATTATATTTTTTAATAATAACTAAACACCTGTATATGAAATGAAATGTCAACCCATATTGAATTTTTTACTTATATTATATAAAAATATCAATATTATATACTATCATATAAGTACAAAAATATATATCATAAATAAATAGAAATACTATGGTGACATGTATAGCATAAGTGTAGAATATGTTAGTTTACTATTAAGCACAATAGATTAATCTTTTACTTAATTAGATGCCTAATACTTCAAGTGTTGTATTCGTCGTGCTTCATAGTTTTGTGACTTTTTTTTAAAAAATTTGGATAAATAATTATTTAATTTTATTAGAGTGACAACATACCAATTACATTATAAATAAACATCATTTTTAGTAAAATAATATCATTTTATTTCATCTTCGAAATAAGTAAAATGAATTGGAGAGAAATACTCATAAATAAATTAATATGACTGTTTTAGTGAAGATATGTAACATAGAAATAAAAAAAAAGTATTAAGATAATTGTGGAAGAAAAATATATGGAATGAAACCAATATAATGATTGCTTCAAAAAACAAAAATATTTAATATATTATGAAATGAAATCAGTAACCGTGCCTAATTGATATTTTGCATGACACACAAGCCTAATCATGTATCAATCCAAAGCATAGAATTATGACAAATAGCCAAAACACGGGAGTCTACCACTTAAACTCAACATTCAGTAATTATAACAGGGGGATCTACACGTTATGAAATAATAATTATTTTTATTATTATCATTATCACGTTTATTTTATTTTGTCAAGATCATTATAATGTTCTATCTCTATGTAGTCTATACATAAGTTGAGATATAAACTTTTAGAATATTTATTTTTATTGATTGATGTTTATACTTAGTTATATATTTTTTTTTCAACTAAAAAATTTGTTTTATAGTATGTTAATGTACATAAATTTCTATACATTATAATATAATTTACCGTTTTATTTGATATCTTTTAATTTAGTTTGATAAATAACTTTAAATCTTATTTATAAGGATATATATTACTGTTTTATTATTATTATTATTATATATATATATATGGATTGGTTCCAAACTTCCAATGAGTCCACATTCTTAAAGTGAGGACATGAGTGTAATATCCCGACTTTTTATCAGTATAAATTATATTTTTAGTTCCGATATTATTTTTCGGAGTTAATTAATTTCAGTTATTTCAGTCGAAATTACCAAAAATATTTTCGACGTACCATTTACGTTCGGAATAATTTTGGTAATTAAACATTATGTTTAATTGGATAATTAAACATAGTTAAGTGATTAATTTAAATTAATCACGAGATTAGCTTAATTGTTCGGATTTTATTCCAAGCCATGCCAAATTGCCGTGCACTATTCAAGTCATGGAGGAGTTCCATTCATGCTAATGTCGTGTAAGTGTGGGATGAATTTTAGTGCATTTGTTCAAATTTCCTCCTTTGTCTTATGCTAAATGCCGTGCACAATGTGGTGAGAAATTGTCCAACATTTTCTTCCACCTAGTCCTAAGTAGCCGTGCATTTTGTTGTGTAGCATGTTGGTGTTTTGGTCCAAGATGCTTTCCTCATTGTCCTCTAGTGCCATGGGAATTAGTGTTGTATTTTAGTGCATTTTGTCCATATTCCTTCTCCTTAC